ACATACAAAATGTAACATTCCTTTTAGTTTTTGATCAACAAATCTTAAATTTTTGCAACATTTCACGTAGAAAAGAGCAGACTATAAATGGAACTATTTTGTGGATGGTGCCTGAAATTGACTTTAGCACTCAAAGGGGCATCAAATATTTTGAAAAAATGTAAAATAATTTAGCAGTTGACATTGTATCTCACAATGGATGGGGATAGGGGACCCAACTAAAATCCATCTATGCATATTTGAAAGAAAAAAAATATAAATACATGTAGGGGTGAATATCTTGACTGAAAGTATTAATTATTGCGCCTAACATATGTCTTACATAATCTCAAAAAAACATCCTTGGGGAAAAAAAGATCATAAGCACCTTCGTTTCAGTTTCTCAACCACGCAAGCAATATGACTGCATCACATTCTTTAAAGTTATGTCTATCAAGCTGTGCCCTTCTTTTTTATCACGTCAAATAAACCAATATTTGTTCATAAGGACACGTTATGTCCATGTTTCCATTGTTTAGGGTTATTATTCCTTGACAATAGTATGTAAAGGTATAGTTATTTTATATCAACAAAACGTACCAATAGGTGTAAAACTTAAAGCCTCATTTTCAAGGTTGGGTATAGGAATTGGTATGCTGATGGGACCAGAACAGCATTTCAATGAAGTGTGTGAAAAGTTAAATTCTAGTACCAGTATAATACTGTAAAATCCATACTGCTAGAAATTTTCCAATGTCAGGATTTTAGGGCATTCATGAATTTTTACTGCTATACAATTTTTGAATTTTCATTGATTTGCAAAATTTGCGAAGACTGAAACGATTCACAGCAGTCACTGCATGTTATGATTTTTATTCGAGCCTCTACATCAACTTCACAGATTAGCTTACATATATAGATTTTAAATTTCTTTTTGTAAGACCCTTTTTATCCTTTCCTAAGGATTTTATGTGTCTAATAAATATTATTATTATAATCAATTTCTGGCTTTTGATTTGATTGAATGAATTTTACAATTCGGATTCATGTAATTTTTTTTTTATTTGAAATAAAACTTAATGAAGGTATATTTTGTAACAATACAAATCAGTTTTCCTTTAAACATACACTTAGAAACCTGAAGGAGGTGTTAGTTTCAACTTTGTGCATGCAAGTGCATGTTTACAAACCAGTCTCCCATACCTATACCACAGTGTTTTGGAAAGTAGAGCAGATCGTACTTAGATTTATATTACTGAAATAACAGCTGGCTCTTGGATTCCAGAACCACTTTGGTGCAAGGCGAACATGGTTTTACATCTAAAAATTCAAATTCATCAAATTTTGATTACCATCAACAAATTTTACATATTCATGCATCTTCCTTGTAATAAAAATGATGCAAGAGTTATCAACACCAAGCAGCAGATTGGCATTTAATTAAAGTCCAATTATTCCTGTTATAACCAAGTTAGATTTCCAAAATTTTGGATCTCCAAAATTCAAGAAACATTTTTAGTACGGGAAGATAAAACCGAAAACAAAGTCTGATGGCCTTAATTTGAGTGCTATAGAAATGACTGTATCCAATGCACACAGTTGTAAACAATACAGTTCAGTAAACAATAAGACACTATATTATTCTATTATAAAAGACTTCATTTGCATAACAATAGTAAACACATAACAATAGTAAACAACAATGCATGATAAACATGAAAATCAGGTGACCGAGAATTGGTCATAAAATGACTTGCGCTCTGAAACATGATATAGTTCTACCAACTGAATACTGTGGAAGAACTTATTTTTCACAAAAATACTAATTCAGGACAGGAATATTTTCATAGGATTTCATTTCATTGGAATCACCTGCTCAGCTGAAATATTTATAAATAATTCCAAGTGAAACAAACAATCTCATTTTGTGAGCATCAATCAAATGAAATTCTAACCAAAAGTGTCCCAGAATGCACTAGGTGCCTGGAAAGGTTTGTTTGATTAAACAGAAACGAGCAAGATATATCGGTATGATGTATGACCGCATTTAATAACAAAAATGCACATGAAACTATACATGCTTTGCAAATAAGCATAGACACTATTGACAATTTTCTGAGATGAGCACTGATCAGTTCTTTCACAGACTCGCCAATTGTACTTCCAATAAGCTAAACTTATAAATCAATGTAAATATTTACACATAAGGTGCAATTCAGTGCTTCGATTATTAACGTACTGTTTTGAACAAAGTTTACTAAGTTACTGTGAAACCATTTATTTTCACTGACAATTAATTTCACTATTTTGATGTTTTGATCATATTCACTGTGTTTTAATTTCACTATTTTGATGTTTTGATCATATTCACTGTGTTTCAATTTCACTATTTTGATGTTTTGATCATATTCACTGTGTTTCAATTTCACTATTTTGATGTTTTGATCATATTCACTGTGTTTTAATTTCATGAAGTTGTCAAGGAAACAATAAGTTTTATTGTTATTTTACATATTCATGTAGATTTAATTTAGCGGATTTTACTTCTCAGCGAAATTAAAACCCAGTGAATAATTAATGCATTTACAGTAAAACAAATTCTCTGTTACAAAATTCTAGATGATAAACTTCTGTTATTGCTTATGAATTTGTTTAAATTAGTGAAGTAATTCAACAATTGTTGCAAACTGGGTTACCATATGCGGAATATGAAGTACCGTACATACCAACTAAGAAGTTGAGGTTGACAATAAAATGAGGGGCGCTATAAATATATACAAGCGACCTGTCAATCGAAATAGTTCCACTGTCCTACAACAACATTGTGGTAGCCAGCAAGCAAGGAACGGAAACCCATAAGACTTCTTCTTGAAAACTGCCAGCACAATTTTATACCAAATATCAAAACAATCACCTATATCAACAGCTACACTCTGTCATCTACAATAACAGAGGAGCTAAAAACTGTTTGTCCACCACTGATAAGGGAATAAAATTTGCTCTTTTCATTTCACCAGATACCCCCTAAAAATAATGGTATAAGCCAAACGTCTCAAAACTCTTCTTCTCAAAAACAACAAAAGCTGTAAAACAAATTACATTTTTCACAAATGACTATTCATAAAAATTACTATCTATTAGTTTCAATTAGTTAAATTCTTTTTATATCATGTAACGTATAATAGCATTTATAATAACTGTAATTTAATCATCTGTATTGGTATAGGATATGAAAACTGACAGGATATGAGAGCAATTCTAAAAGTTATTAATTTTTATAAAAACAGGAAAACACTTATTTTTAAATATTAGATAGGTTGATTATCAAACGATCTTCTTATAGGACTCCATAGAAACAATATTTGCAATAAAATTAGGGGAAAATTGATGACAAAAGACAGCGATAAAAAACGTTTAATATGTTCTTTATTTGTAGTAAGGGCAAAGTTCAGAAAATAAAGCAGAACACCATTCTGATTTGATACCACGTGGCAAGTATTGAAAAAAATCGCATTTATTATTATTATAAAAAGCAAATACAAAAGATAGCAAGAAAACGACATACAAAATAAACATAAAACAATAAATAAAATTCACTTACATGTTTTTGAACTAACTACACACTGTGTTAGATTTAGAAACAATGCATCTACACGATTATAAGTGATGTGTGGAGATAAAACTACTGTAAAACACTGTTAATTTTCGCTATTGCTGAAGGAATGACTCAGTCAAAATAAAATCCAACAAATATACCTTTTTTCCTATATTTTACATTCAACTTGTCCAAAATCGGTGAAAATAAATTCCATACAAAACACGCAATGAGTCTTTTCAGTGAAAATTAATTCTAGCTAAAATAAAGTATTTGACAGCACCAAACACAAAAAGGGAATATTATAATACGCAATCATGCTTTGAATGTTAATGTCACAGTGCTAGATATAACTACATACTATAGTAACAATGTAAATGTTATTTAGGTTATGGGCGGAGGTCTAAGTCGAAGGAAAAGTATTAAAATGCAGGGAAATCAACATCAAGTATATAGTTTAATTAATTGATGGTGTCATATTTCGTCTGATACTTGATATCATTAATAATGTTTAATTGCAAGTATAATTTATAATTATGCAGGTGGTAATTTGTAATTAATTGTCGTATTACTCCCAATAAATATTGGTTATTAAATATTTTATAACGGAACACTGTATGGGACACTTACATGTAAGTTTGTATTAATCTAGGAAACAGAATTTCTCAATTCAGGCTAGTGTCAGGAAACAGTCACTTAGGTGACAAATATTAGGCTAAGCAGCAAATAAAATTAATTAATTAATTAGTTAATCAATCAATCAATCAATCACCTATTTCATTAACAAATTTAGGTGACAAGAATGTTTTGAAATTTAAGAATAAATTTTAAAATATGAGTAAAAATGAAAAATATTATATCCTTCCGTTTCAAACTGCCAGAGTAGTCACTCAATTCTGATACTGGTATAGTTGTCGATTCGTTAAATGGAAAGAATACATGACTAAATGACAGAAGGCTATTATGTCGGTCACTCCTGTCACTCCATGTGTCCATTTACATTGTGGTCCTTCCTGTAGTGTTAAACAAGTCGTTGTGGGTCATGGCGTCGTCCAAATATCCGACATCAACCCCGGACATCAGCACGGAACGGAACTCAGCCAAAGGACACACTCTAACAAGACAACCGTAAAGTTGACTGAAAATTCCAATACCATAGTAGTTGTCGGTTTATGTTGGCCCACAGATCGTGCAGCTGCTTATACATCGTGGAAATCGCTACATTGTTTTTGTAGACAGCGGGAATCCAAATGATTGAACACAGTCCCCCTATCACGGGACTGACTGTGTACTGAACAAAGTTTAAGTTTATAAATACAACCAGAACGTCACAATGCCCTCCATCAACAAGTACATCTTAGTCCAACTAAGAGGCATCACGGGGAAACAAACTACACAGCAACAAAGCTAAATGCAATTGACTTACCGTCGACATTTCGTCCCCCGACCGCGGAGTCGGCCACCGCCATAGTGGACGTAGTCGGTTCTTGCCCTGAACACCGTAGATCACCTTCTTCGCGACGATAACACGGTGTCCATTTTAGTTTTAGGATCGTCCGTGACGTGGACACTTATTGAATAACCAAATCTTCGTGGTATTCACATGAATAGTGAGTCATTGTTTATATGGAGATGACGGTGTGTTGCTGGCATGAAAGGTCAACGTGAAACTATAAAGCAGTCAAGACAATTAACTCTAAGGTCTCAATTTTGCGCCCTCTACCGACAAGAGTTTTCTCCCAGTGGTAACGGCGGTTTCCAGACTGCCATAAAATACTTTTTTTTAAATTGCCATATTTTATATGTATTTTTTTTCTCATGTAAAAATCATTTCCAAGTCATTTAAATTTACAATATGTGATGGTCTGAACTTTTGCGCGCACTGCGGGGAGAAACAAATATAAGCCAAGATTCTTACTTGTTCCAATAATGAAGAAATGTAGATATGTTTTTTTTTTTTAAAGTTTATAGAGAAGTGTTTTCCAGCCCAGTAATTCACTTCACATTAAGATATTAGATGGGCCATTATTGCATGCAAAGCTACGTATTAGTAAACCAAGACTCATCCACACCTCTCATTTCCTATGAATCCATCGGTGTAAATTTGAAACAAGGGCCAATACAAATTGCACATTTCATAGGCAGGGGCGGATTTAGAGGGGAACCGCGAATTAGACCTTCGGCTAAACCACAGTCCCTCAACACTATTATTATTCACTAGTGTTGAGGGACTGTGGCTAAACATATCGGCCCCCCTATTCCAGAATCCTAGATCCGCCCCTGACACGGATCCCAGTGAAATAGTTACATTCATTTTTCAGAGTTAAGGAAACACAGTAAAAAAAGAGCAGCAACTACTTAACTTGAACGATTTGATCTAATATTACAACAAAATATTTATAAATGTTACTGTAACAATAATAGTCGTATTGTCAAAAGAATACTTAACAGCGTGGTCGTTACGCAGTTCATGTCCGAATTTCATATACACAAACAATGTATTTACACGCGTTGTGTACGTCACTATGAGTCCCACATGGAACATGACGCGGTGCGACCGTGACGACTGCCGCCCTTTAATGAGATGGGAAACTACAAAAACGAAAGACATTTTTCAAGTAGACATGTGACAAAAGCGAATCATATTAGACAAAGCAATTCAATGGCCACACCAGATACCAAAGGTAATTATGTAACTATTGAATAGGGTATTTTTTTGTTTATTAATAGCTAGTTTAAAGAGGTGGTCGTCGCGCCGCGCATGTGTGACATTTGTGTTGATAAACATTGATTTTCCCACAATCCAATGCGCTTTGCTGAGGAAATCACGAGTACGGTTTTGCCCTGGGCGCCACTTGTACTAGTTACTGTCGGCGACTCCTTCGATACCTTCCGATCAAAATTACGTAATAAAAGCTTGGTAACCTCTCAGTTTGTACACGTTTGACTGCGCAATAGTCAAAATTGCCAGCTTTGTTTCTATGAGACCTATAAATTTAGCGCATGCGTGGCGCAACGACTACCGCCCTGTGGTTGGAGAATATGCCAGGGGGCATTATATCACAATTCCCGCATATCATTGCAGCACGCCTATTTCTGACCAGACGATTTTCTTAAAAGCATTATAAAGGCATCAACATTAACAATATGGGAACGTTGCGTTTGTTGACGTGTTTTGTAAATGGCACCCAATCTATAACAAATTTGTTCTGCCTACGAGGTGTGTTTAAAGTCACTAACCATAAAATGCTGACAAATGCGAAGGTATATGTGTAGCTGAGAAAATGGAAAGATAGATTATCCTACTTGGAACAATTCAGATCATAAAGCCATGGGAATATCACGTTACCAGTATATGTTAAATTTAGTACATATATAAGTAAATATACTTATATTTGAAATGGACCAAACAAAATACACAATCACGGGTGAGACAGAAATGGTGGCCCAGCCATGCCAGATATTTTGACATTACAAAAAGCTTTTTTTATCTCGCAAATCACACATTGTATAGATATTTTACTGAAATGCCATTTTGATTTCTTGTCAAAATCTCCCCTTCCTTTTACAATATGCTGAAAACATGGATCTAATTGCGATATGAGATTCATAAACAAGAACTGTCAATTAATATCTGTATTTTAGAATAATGCTAAACTCTTGATAGCGTGGAAGATTTTTTTTTCATGTACATATTGATGCTTGCCTGATGTAGCAAACAAAGTACACTGTAAATTATATGAGCACTTTCATGTTTTTCATTAAAACACACCGTTTTAATTGAAAGCACACTGTTGTAATTAAAAACACGTGTATTATATTATAAAACACCAGGTCACCTGTATTTTCTATCAAAATTATAGTGGTTTAGAAAGTGTTTTTGAGAGTTATTAAAACACTTTTTGATGAAATTAAATAAATTGTAAACACACAAAAATACACTTTTTTTTCAAAATAAAACACCGAGTGTTTTACGGGGACAAAAATGTGTCATTAGAGTATTTATTGATAGAACATTTATGGACTAATGCATCTAACTTTATGCAAGCAGTATTACCAAAATTGAGTGAAAAGTCTGGAGACTCGTGAGTAAACATTATGGTATATATGTCAACTTGACAATCACCGAAAGTGACGTAATTTAACGTATAATGAGATGGTCATGTCATTATCTTCAGAAAATAGTTCTATATCTAATTAATTTCATGTACGCTTATACGGTCTTACAACCTATAAGTACTACTGGAAATCAAGACACGTGGTGAATTAAGTACCTTGTGTCCTAATGGATTTTGATACTCCGCATTTGGTGAACGGTGGATGTAGTTCCAATCACATCTGAGCATTCTCACATGTGATTTAAACATTTTTCTCTAAACTGTTCAATTTGAAACACTTCAAAAAGCAACATCGCCAACAATATTTCAACCCAAAACACCAGACAGTAAATGTTAATGTATAAGGCACATTTGTGTCCTTGAGAGTAACTAAAACACCTTTCTTCCAAATTGTTTTATTTTGAAGCACTTTCTAAAACACACATGCAGTGTTTCAAGGTAAAACACTCGACTAAGCATGTTTTCTATGTGTTTATGTATACGACATGTAAACAAATTCATAAGAGTAACTAAAATACTTTTCTTCAAAATGCAATGTTTCAACCTAAAACACCCGATTAGATAAGTGTTCATATACAGGACACTTTTGTGTGTCGTCTATAATAGAAACACTGCTTACTGTCGACTGTATGTAGCATATTTATTATAAAATAAAAACAGCTCAAACACGTCATCATTGCCAGCAAGCATACTATACATGTAAGCTATTTATTGACTTTAGTATTTTCAATAATTAACAGCTTTATATATTCCTATATTTTGCGAGTGTGCATAACATGTGTCATAAGTTTAATAACCGATGGAATTAAACATGCACGGTGTTGTTATCAATGCTCGTGTTAGTAAGCTGAATGACGCAGCGCTAAACAGGCGTTAATTCCCGTTCACTTCGTGTTGTGGTTATATTTTCGTTTTCACATTACATATGCGTTACTTTATTTTACTTTTCATATTTCTGATTCAAATATCGCATTTCTTGGAAAAACAATGATAATTAATTAAACATTACTCACTGGATTTTTGTACTATCATATTATATTTTAAAGAGCGGTCAGGATGATATTGCTAATATTGGGAATTGATTTTGCCCTGTTAATATGGGTTATTGTTGGTTCAGTGCCCTCGTCCTCTATGCCCGGAGAGCTCTAGTTAGGTAAATATAGTTTTAAAATACCACATAAGGGTTGATTTTAAAAGGGTTTTAAAACTAAGCAATCAAACCATTTATCAGATAGAAAAGTAAAAGATGTATGAAATAGAATAGATACAGTGCATATATGCAGATTCGAGAATGGGAGTGCAATATAGTACATTTATTTCTAGAGAGCATGTTTCTCTGAAATTAATGATTTTTTAATTTGTTCCACTATTATTTTTTGTTTTTCCAGGAATATGATGTGCCCGGAGAGACTGCATTTGAGACAATACTATTACATGGGAAGAGATTGGATACTATGAGGTTAATACGAGGATACCTCAAAATATGCACGAAAACAGTACAGCGGGAGTATCGACCGACGCGCTGTGGAGGTCGATGCGACGGCGTACTATCTGAGTTCACACTTTGAGATATCCTCGTAATAATCTTATTATTATACATCTTTTCCTTCCAAGGATACATCATGGGAATGCCGAAATCCAAAAAGTTTAGAATAGAATCAGCGAACTTCTTTGTGTGGAGTCCGGTCAAACCCTGGTGGCAGCCATGTTTGTTTGTATTATAGAGGACGCTTACGTGCGTAATCATTCCATATTTGGAATTCGCATTTTCTAATATGGTAGGATGAAAATACCCCGTGAAATACAGCAAAATTACGGCACGCTGTAACTTATGGCGTTACGGTGACAGATGTATAATAATTTCATTTATGTCTATGGAGAAAAAGGTTCAAAGATGTTATTGTTTGTTTCAGCTCAATACTTATTTGTTTTGAAGTTCCAAGGTTCACAGTTATTTGGTATTGTTTCTACAGTCTCACGAAAGGTTTGAATTTCAGTAAACACACTTATTAATCTGCACACGAGTACACTTTTTCATGCGATTGATATTATTTTATTATTTATTTACATATTTCTGGTTGAAACACTTTTCAAAATGTGTGTCTAATGAAATAAATTTTCAAAGAGTTGTGATAGTAAACACTTCATTAAAACATGTCTTCGGTTGAGACACTTTTCTACGTGTCGTGATCATAAACACTTTACGAAATGTGTGTCTAGTGAAAGAACTTGTAAAAGTGCAATTCTTATACACGTGCTTGATGGAAACACTTTTCAATACGTGTTTCTATTGGAAACACTTTACATAATGTGTTATGTGCAAAAACATCTTTGAAATGCTGCAATAAAAACACTAACTGCAAGGGTTTTGCATCATATACGCTTTTCGCAATTATGCAGATTATAAACACTTTAAGTGTTTTTAAAGTGGGAACAAGCTCATAAACACTTCAAATGTTTTACCACAAAACAGTAAAAGTGGTGTTTTAAAATAACTCATTTATGACTTTAAGAAAAACACTTAATGTGTCAATTATAAAAGACTTAAAGTGATTTTCAAGTGGGACAAAAATGTGCCGTATTTTAAAACACTTAGATTTACAGAATATTCCCAATGACTGTTTTTTTAAATGATATAGTATAATTGCTCTAGTGCTAAAGAAACGGAGATGAACTGCTAACACAACTAATTTTAGACAACCTCGAAATCAAAAAACATCTGTATCTTAAAAACATGATCATGACAAATCTCATCATTTGCAACATTTATGAAAACAAATATATTGCAAATTGGAATTGACGCAAAATATTTAAATCCCAGGATCTTAATTGTATTTTACTAATCTATTAATCCATTGTTGGGACAATACATATAGCTCAATATTCATACTAACGATAAATACAAATTTGAGAGAATTTCAATGGAAACTGGTAATACTATCTCTTTACACAAATGAAAAACAAACAACATACAAACTAAACTATCCGGAAAAATATCAGCATTGTGCAGAATTTGTAATGCAGAAATTGAATTGTACTAGGGCATTGTGGGAAAACTTATAATGGGGTATTAAAATTGCGCTCAGAATGTTAAACAAAGTCATTTTCCTTGGAAACGAGGATTATTCAATACTACCAAACTTCCCAATAATTTGTGAAAAAGAAATAAATCAAAATTCTAATACCTTTAAAAAATATGTTCACAAATTCAAAACCTTGAATATATCGTAGAAAAGGAAATTTAGTAGCGGGTGAGCACTTAAATCTTCAGAAACGAGTAATTCCTTGTGCCATAACCTATTTCTGTACCGGGAAACTACTAATGGAATCTTACTAAACGGAATGATGCAAACAAAATGTTTAAACCGCTTCAAGGGCTATGCTTGTCTTGAAAATTTGTTTCAAGGGATGGGTTTTTTGAAAGAAAATTCCGTGGGGAGGGCGTTTTTTGGAATTTGCCTCCCGTACTGTGATTTTCACCACATACCTGTATATAAATAAATAAGTTGTCCACGTGATTTCTGTGTACTACTTTACTGAACCATCACATGTCATTACTGCAATAGACATACTGCAATATAATAAATACAGTGTAAATCTGTGTGCACGATGCCAGTAATTTTTACCTACTAACTACTACGTAAATATACCAACCAAAGGATAATTCATTGTCAGACATTACTGACTGTTACAATGACGCAATAGTTGGAGTACATCTGATAAAACACAATAAGCAATCGAATAAACACTCCATCCAAACACAACATAACTAGTTTTTCTTAATGTTTCAAACATTTGAATAGCATTCAAATTAAAGCGGAGGAGTCGTCACCTGCGCATGCGACAGATGGCCATAGCGTGTCATTGTTTACAAAAAAGCATCTACCCATGAGCCTTTGCGTTTTTAGCGTGCGTTGTTATCGTCGCTTGGGACTCAATTCCCGCGCGTGCGCAAGTGACAACCCTCCCGCTTTAAATAACTATAGTGAGTCACCAAAGTTTCAAGAAACATTTTCAAGTGATTACAAATATTGAAACAAATCTTTTGCCCCTTCGCGCTACCTTAAGTGGACGTGTATGACTATCCCAAAAATATGGGAGGGTTAGGGGGGCTTTTTATCGTTTCGATTTCTGGATATATTTTGGACAACGACTCATTCGTTCACTTTGCCCAAATAATGTTATCTTATCTACCTGCCATTTATTAAATTGACAGAATGATTTATTTACTATTATACAGATCCATATCACAGTGTCAGTCTGCAGGCAGACTTTATTTAATTTGCCACACCATCCACGCGCTAGATATGGCTTCCATACGAACGAGATGAAACCCAACTTCCGGAATAAAAAATTTGCTTGAACAGATCGGAGAATCACACCTAGGTTTACCGAGTACGGTTACAAGGTCTTTTCATTTTAATCAAGTCACGCTTGGAATTGTTGCCATGTTGATTTTTTAGTGTGAAAATCGCTTTGTTTTTTAACACAAATCCCGCGCATGCGTTGTGCCACGACCATTGCCTTTTACGGTTGCATTTACAATCCCATTTCATATACACCAGACAGTAGGTGGGTAATTATTTGCAGAATGTGAATTTAACAGGACCTTTAAAAGTAAGCACTGAGTTAGGAGGCTTTGTTTGTTCTTGAACGCCAGTCACATTGTGTATATGTTTGTCTAAGTTATAATACCCTTCAGTATTCCCTAAGTAAAATAAGTGGGAAAGTAAGGGATATGTACCTTCAATAAATTACTGCAATAATTTCAGTTTTAATTTTCTCTGTGCTTGAACGGTAATAATAATAATAACAATAATTAGAGTTAGTAGAGTTAGGTCTAAGCATCCGTTTTATTATCTGCTATTTACATATAGTGGACACGTGACCACTATTGTATCAGATGTCAGGTTTCACATGGACTATACTTGATATGGTGACAGTATCCCATCAGCACTGTGGTCTAGTAGGTCAGCGCCCTTTTCATATATTTTCTAACCCGAGGAAAGAAGTTGATATATTCACCCCGCCTTCATTCAATTGCAAATTGCATCGTGATAGTTTCTGAATCCTTCTCGAACCACGAATCACTGTGAAACATGGCAGCTAAAATATCTGTGGGCAGGATTGATGAAGATCTACTGACATGTTCTGTTTGCTTGGAACGTTACAAGAATCCAAAAATTTTACCATGTCACCATTCTTTCTGTGAGCAGTGTTTGGTGAAGTTGAGACCACGTGACACGATTAAATGCCCCAACTGCAGACAACGTCATTACGTGAGTAATATTCAACAACTTCCACCAAGTACGATAATTAATTCTGTCATAGACATTATTGAAGAACAGAAAAGGCAGGGAGGTGATAAAACATGCCATGGTTGTGAAGAAAACTCATCAACAAACAGGTGTGTAGACTGTGCTATGGATTTGTGTACAACGTGCACCAAAGTCCACAGTAAAATGCCAGTTAGTCGACATCATCGTATTATGACTGTTAAGGCGTTTAAAGAGGCCATAAGGACAAAATCGATAGTTTTTCCTGCAGTTCACTGCACTTCTCATAAAGATAAACTTATTGAACTTTACTGTGAGAAATGTCAAATAACTATCTGTCATTTATGTTTGAGGTCAAATCACAAAGGTCATGAATTGATTGACTTACAAGCCGCAGCAGATAGATTCTGTAAGATGGCATCAGATCACATAAAACTCTTGAAAACAAAGCAAAGTGAAGCAAAACAAAGCAAAATAAAGGCCATTAAACGAAATGGAGAATTAGCAAAACAACATTTGCAGCGAAAACAACAAATAAAGCAACATTCACAGGAAACTATTGAGAAATTAACAAAAATAATAAAACAGGAAGAAAGCAGTCACTTGAGTAAATTAAAAACTGATTATGACAAAATGAACGAAGAGATCAACAAAGAAAGGCATCAGTGTGAAACAACCGAGAAACTACTGAAAAGTACAATAACGTTTATAAACAATTTATTAAACTATAGCAGTGCTGCACAGCTGATGAAAACTAGTAAAGAAACAACAAATCAACTGGAAACTATGATGTCACTTGATACAACATGGATTGATAAAAATAAATCACTTCCAAAGTTTTATCCTGGTGACATCACCCTGCAAGGCATGCTGGGAACATTTCAGTCTATGGAGGTAGATTCTGTCTCACATTCACATCAGCAAACACAAGAATCATCACATGTTATAAATGCACCAATGAAATTGGAGGCAATCTCATGGCTAGCAGGCAGTTTTCCAGGGTTGTTCGTTAACCCACTGGGAGTGTGCATCAATAAATGTGGTGATATCGTGGTGGCAGATAATAAGAATAAAAGACTTCAAATTATAGATATTGTGGAAGATAATTTATTTGGGATTTCATTTAAATATGTCGATCAAAAGTCACAGTTACAATTTACAGGATATAGTAAACCAGTCAGACCCATAGATGTAGCAGTGTCAGTAGATAATACATATATTACAAATGGGTATTTGAAAGGCAATGAAGCAAATAATCAGGTGATTGTATGTAATCAATATGGGAAGGTTATAAAGTGTTTTGGTGGAAAAGAATTACAGGATCCGTGTGGAATTGCTATCAACCATAATAATGGTATTGTATATGTGGTTGATAGTGATTCAAATTGTATAAGATTATATGAAATAACGGGTTACAAGTACATTAAGTCAGTTGGTAGTAAGGGTCAAGGGTCATGTCAGTTTGAATATCCAATGTTCATAGCTATGAATAGTAAGGGATGTCTAATAGTCTCAGATGCAGGGAACGATCGTATTCAAGTTCTCACATCTGATGGATTATTTATGTTTGCATTCAGTGGTTGTCCAAATGACAAGTTTGACTGGCCCTGTGGCATTGCTACTGATAAGAATGATAATATTTATGTATGTGATAGTAACAACCATAGAGTGCAGATGTTTAACAGTAAAGGTGAATTTATAACCAATATTGCTAGTGGTAGATATGTATTGAATGGCCCTAGAGGTATAGCAATTACTAATGATGGTAAAGTTGTAGTCACTGATGCATGTTCTCGTGTTAACATTTTTTCATATTAAAAACAAAGAAATCTTTATTTATTTAAAGTTGATTGTCATTGTTCTGAAGTGTAGACATGTTTTCATAACTACTTACCATAATACAATTAATATTATGTAATCAGTTATTATTTTAATTTTTAACTAATGGACAATTTAATTTTAGTTAACGCTACTTAAACTTCCCATTGTAATTCACATTGTAAAAGTTTATTGATAATTATAACAATGTTTGTCTTGTTTCATCAACAAAGATGAATTTTGGTTACCGGAAAATACACTTGGTGGATCTGCGTGGTGCCACTGTTGGGCATTTGTTCGAATTAAATGCTGGCCACCAGAATACCATGAACTTGCATATATTCACCTCTAATTACATTGATTTAAAAAGCTGTCTGAACAACTTGTTTGTTTAAAAGATACTGGAATGTCTTTTGAAGCAAACATGAGGTCATCCGACCAGTGAATAGTTGCACAAATGCATTGTATTTGCATAAACTCAAGATGGCCAGCATAGTATTATACTATTGATTTCTCTACAGAACATTTGGATAGTATACCATTTAGAATACTATTTTCAAATACTTCCAGTTTCTGTTGTTACTTGTATGTTGAAATTCTACGTGATGTATTTATATAGATTCATAAATTATGTCTATTATGTGGAACCGTAATATATGCCTCTATTGCGCATACAGTGAAACAAGCTGAGAAATGGTCTTTGTATTATTCTATTAGCACACAACTATAATAAGTTAATATTGTATATCAGATATTGAACATTCTGTAATGAATATACACAAATAAACTGAACCACTGTTGTTGTTTTAATAATGAGACCATACATATAACTGATATATCCTAATCTCATACATACACAGTGATTTGTAAACTCAAATAATTGTCAAGAACTTGTAACACTATGAAATGTACTGGGTCTATTAAAGCAAAATTGTACTAATGAACATGTTAACTAATTAAGTATGGTTCGTCATCGATCTTTCTAACTCATCTCTTATTGGCTTCTAGTACATGGTAGTTTTATACTTGCATGTTAACGCTTCGATGATACAGGATTCTGTCACATAAACAGCATATCAGATTAAATACTTTATTGGAGCAAACGCCACACTATCGTGTATTGGTATTTGAAACAACGATGTGCAAACGTGATAACATCACACATTAAACAATTATTAATTACTGTACCATGTCTAAAAGCATGTTTCCATACATTAACTGGCAAATGTACATATTCTCAATAAATGTCTTAGTTGTGATACTGGTAGTAGTGAATTGAGGTTTTGTGACCTCTTGTCTTTGCCAACCTGGTTCACCAGTGACAGGACTTTAACTTTGTTAATACTGATATAAAATACGACTGTATTACAACGTGTTAGAGCATACATAGGCAACATGTCTTGTGCTATATTGTATGTATGTGCAATGGTAATGTTTCATTACCATATTTATAATTATAACATGTTATCATGGACAATCTATTGAACATATGGTGGAATTAGTGTGTAATTGGTCATTCCTGACTAGGAATTAAAGTTTTCCAAAATTTATGAAATATCACTACCCAAAAAATATATTTGACAAGTGGCTTAATGAAGGCATATGACAGGATGACAGATGACAATATAACATACTGTGACCTCAATTAATATGCATAATATTGCATATGCAGGTGCAACCACTACTATTATATAATCTATGAGACCGAGATTTAAATATGAATCTCATTCCATTCACTTATATATGTACTTGTAGACGTGGCAATCATGTAAATAATTACAAGCAAACAAAAATTAACGTAATAACACGAATTACTATATTCGAACGCGCGCAAACGGAGTAGCGTCTCGCCACGGGAGGCGATCACACACTAACCACTCGACCAAACTAACTGACCCAGAGTCTATGTAAACGAACTGCTGCAAGGGCAGAAGTGCCATCACTATATGCTAATGCTCGACATAGTGTTTACCTTCATACGACAATTTATGTATTTACGTGCAAAGTGAAGCCACACTACTGAAAAACAAAATGCTAACACCACCGCGGACATTGCATACAATCGTATCGAAAACGGCCATTTTATAAAAGTTGTCTTCTACTTCACTGGTCTTATGCGTCTTAGTATTTATGCTTAGCATAGTCGAATAAAATAATATATTTCAATATTCGATATTCGAGAAAAACGCCTTTATACGTCAAACCCTAGATACTGCATATCAAATCTGATTTTGCTAGAAACGCTGATATTTTATTTGAATTTGAGTCAGCAACTCTATTTACATAATTGTCATTAAATAGTGCTTTGATCACCGTATAACTTGAAAAACGGATTGGTCGTGTTCCGCATTCCGATCTACCATTGTTACTGAGACCAACAATCGACAAATTGTCTTGGAAGAGTTACAATACCAGAGTTTTGCTCGTTTGTCTTGCTGATAGCGTTGCACATCGGATCTTTACGTACTGGAAACAATATCAACACTGCTTTTTAAAATAACCGCATCATCACTAGTGTAAATTTCAACTGATTACAATTATTTCTACGGAGCGTCGTCTACTGAGGAAATAAATAATCAGCATGTATTCGTTCTACGAAATATGTTTATTAATTGTATCGACTGGAGTTGAAAACAAGGACAACATCTCCTAATAACCTGAGAAAAATGTAATGTTATCCTCATTATTATTTAATTCTGTCCCCGCTAACTCTTTTTCAAATGAACAATTGTCGTCTGTTCGCCACATGGTACTGGATGTTTGATCTAGCCGATTCAAACAAATAATATTTATCACCAATATATAGTAAGAATAAATTTCATAACCTTAAACAATAGTTCATGCATAGCGCGTTTAATACTTTAAAGCGGGAGGGTCGTCACCTGCGCACGCGCGGGAATTGAGTACCAAGCGACGATAACAACTCAAGCTAAAAACGCAAAGGCTCGTGGGTAGACGCTTGTTTGTAAACAATGACACGTTATGGCTATCTGACGCATGCGCAGGTGACGATTCCCCCGCTTTAATGACAAAGCCTAGTAATACAAAAATATATCATTAACTAGATATGTAAACAAGAACAGTAGAGCGCAATGGTGGTTTAATTATCACTAATGTGTTAATTATTCTATGACAGCAACTTAATAACTTTTCAGTAGAAAAAAAAAAACATTGAACGGCGATTTACTTTTGTAAGTCAATGTATAGCTAATTATAGTGAATGTAAATCGTTTGGGAAATCGCAGTCATAACAGTACATTAAAAAAGAAACCCGAAGATGGATGTAAGTAATACTAGTAAGTACACGCTCTAACAGCAATCACCTGCATCAAAAAGTAAACGCATATGCATATTCAGCAATATAATCATATAGCAGATTTTGACCGTAGTTAAATAGCGGACTAGTTTGGATAACACGGCTACATTCAACATGACATTGTGATTCAATTTAACTCATTTTAACACACAACACAATTACACTATTAATTCATATGAAAAAAATCGTGTGTGAACATCAAAGAACACTTAGTATTTTGGTCGATGGATGTGATGCATTTAATGTGGTGTTGTCTAGCAAAATTAATTATCAGTGATATTCAATTTTGTTTTGTTAAACTTGAATCAACAATGGTAATCGCCATATTTCAGAAGATATTCCATGTCCATGACAATTTCAAACGTAAAACAGTATAGCATTTCAATACAGTTTATTTTACTGCCTGGCATATGGAACTTTTAAAATAATTTAACCCGGGCACATTCGTTTGTTGACACATTTCCCGATATACTCGCATTACAATTCAGACACTAGTGTTCTTGCCAATTTGCATAATATATCGTTTGAAAATAAACTTATGGTGAATATTGTTTGTTTCACCGCAACTCCCGTTTCGTCCGATCTGATAGCATGAATATATAAATACAATGTCTGAAATTCAGTTACTCAACCTAGACCCGACTAATAACGTGTGTACATTGCTCGACGATCATCACAGAATACATTTATTCAAGATGCAGTTCAGTTTGGTGTTTATGTTGGTAGCGCTGATGTTTGTGAGTATTAAGTACATAAATTGAAACTTATACTGCCATGCGATGACATCCTTGTATGTGTCGATGCGTTTTTTCATATTACGTCATCCAAATCAAAACTCTCAATAGGGAATAAATTTTGAAATGTTAGCCACTAAACATTTTGTTTACTATTTGTATTACAGATGATTACAGACGGTTTCGATTATTGTAAGTTATACATACGTCATTTTTCTTCTCAAAATATTTATCACATATCAAATTATATGATGCTCTGGCATAGGAAATTTAGATCGTATAAAGAACTTTTGACAATGTATTTGTTTTGTGAAATCTGGAATATAGGAAAAACTGACTGATAAATTTACACTTTTTATTGTTTAATGGATTATGCAATATCTCGTATACAATGGTAAAACACAATGCAAATCACTGTGTATGTTTCTCGTCCATTACATGCACTCACGTTAAGTCACAAACAAGTTCGTTGCTCTATAAGATTGGTACACTAATAAATCGCCTCCCAGTAGCATATAAAAACAATAATAATGTTACTGAAATCGGGATGGTCATCATTTACATGTATATGTGCGAATGAATGAAACACAATTTGTTTACGAGACTTCTTGTAAAATAGTTGTGTGCATCTCAGCGACATTGCGAGACTTTCTCTCAAGACCGCCAAACATTACTCTCTTCGACTTGAAGCGTCGCGACGTGACACAACTAGCAGTGCAGGCAACTCAAAGTAAATCAACGTGACACAATAAACCGAACAAGCTCGGA